GAAATTGTTTTTATTTAAAATATTGTTTGTTGTTTCAAAAAAAAGCAACTAAAATAACTTTTAGTTGTTTAAACTTCAAATGCAGTCAGTTGTTTGACTATTTATTTTTTTATCTAATTTTGTGACAAGTTACCGTATTGATTGTACCTTACTTCTTATAGATTGATAGCATTGTATTTAAATATTTTTTTTCATTCGAAGACTTAAACTCAAGATTCGTTTTTGATGCAAAGTCAGACTAAAAGTTATTACTCATTAACACCTGTCCTATTAAAGCTTTAGTCCCACTGCTTCAACTTCCAAATAAGTACTTTGTCAATCATTATTCATGAAATACATATTTAGCCAAAGTTTATTTGTTTTCTCAATGAACCGTTGTAAGCTATTCACAACAAAATTCTTTCAACAAATCTAAATAATTGCTTCATTTCTCAATACACTGTAGTTACTTCGTTGGGGTTTGCCTTTTGTATGTCGTTAAATGCAATTCAGTCAGTTGAGTTCGTCCTATGGGTCGTATTCGTCGATTTTATTGCAATTAGTCTTCTCCAGGCAACATTCTTTTGGATTATTACGAATCATTTCTTCCTTGATTCATCCAAAAGTCGTCCACAACTCAATGGATTGGGACCTTTTGTTGAAACCGATCCGGAAGTTGAATGGGGATACGCCTTTGATGTTCATTTAAATGGATTTTTTCCGGCATTGTGCATTTTGCACTTGTTACAGTTACCTTTTCTGTACAGTAGGTTTGCTAACTTCAAAATTCTTTTGATTTTATTTGTTCACAATACGCAATTTCTCGACACTATACACATAACCAATCAGATCACTATATATATTTATAATTAGTTTTTGAGATTAAAAACCAGAGTCTGATTGCATCACGCCTTGTCAACAGTTGATAACTCAACGGTTTATTGCTATTGTTGTTTAGTTGTTCTCAACCTCCTAACATACTCCTTTGTTAGCCCGATTTGAAAGAGGTTTAGTTTAATCGACCAACTATTTTTATTTTGTACTTTATGCCTTATCGTTCGCACTAATTACTTGACTACACCGTGCTCAGAAAGTGCTTAAAAGACATTTAAAATCAAATAGTAGTGACTTGTACGTGCCCTCCCCTACGAAACGGCATTTCGCACCAACCACAAAGTATTACATAGTTGACTACATCAGAATACTATTTGATGTACTCACTTTTCCGACTTAGCAACTTGTAAATAACTACATAACATATTATTTCAAATTTGGCTGTATAGAAATGCCACAAATGCATCAGAATTCATAATAATCGAAACTATCCTGTCGATAAGTATACATACGCATATACCATACAATATTAACATGAAGAGCAAGTGACCATATCTTATCACCATTTCAATTTCTTCAACAGATTAGAAAACAATAAATTATTGTCACATATTTCTTCCAATATTTTTGACTTAAATCGTTTTTTCTCTAAATATCTAGTTATTCTCCAAAACTGGTTCATCGGGAGGTTACTGGGTAATACTTTCTGGTTGACGAGTTTCACTTACTACACCTATATCACATTCCTGGGTTACCGTAGTAAGTTCACATTGCATTTTTACCTGTATTTAGCCAATCATTTCTTGATATTTTTTATTACGATTGTGTGCAACTACCTTATAAAAATAGAATTACTGTTATATTTCATTTTATCGTAACTGCTAACCGTGAAGTTAGTTATCCGTGGTCGGTTAGGTGAATTAATGAATTCGTTATTTATGGTAGAATGTACGAAAATTTTGTAAGTAAAAATGTTCCGACTTTTCAGTATGCGTATTTGACTTTCAGCCACTCGATATAGACGATTATAGTTTTAGAGAAAAGGGAGACAACAGAACAAAGATATCATTAAGATAAATAGGGAAAAGAATAAAAGTAAACAAGTTGGGGATGAAATGTCCAGATCTTAACTGGTTAGATATACTGTGGTTAATTCTAAAGTTATTAATAGATAGGCAGTGAATAATAGACATATTTGATAAAGTTCGTTCGTTGTTGAGTCTCTCGTACGGTGAATATCTGAAATGACCTTAAGCATACTTGCTCCCATCCAGATGTTTATTGAAGATTGTTTAGGAAGGATATCATGTTTGACACCGAATATCGGGTATTGGATGTTACAGTCACATATGACCAATAACAAATAACATCTCTTGTTACATTTCAGCTTTACCGTTTCTCAAGCGTACAACAGTTCTGTTGTGGCCAGTAACAGCTGCTATCGTAATTTACGTGGTATCGCTTATCATGAAATGGAATTTCACACTTTTTTTATGTCATTTCTACCAGTTCCGTTTATTTTAGTGAATGATTGCAAATGTGTTAACTGTGATACGAATTAAAGAGAAATACTATGTTCTCTGATTGTAAATATTTTTAAAAAGTGATGAGCTATAATTCCACGTGTTCTAATACTTGATTATGTATAGTTCATAGTTGTTTGCTGGTAATATTTATTCACGCATATCTGGACTGAATACTTTTGCATAATTTATTTTATTTTAACATTACAAAGATACTGAATTAATAAATATTTATTAATGATCATGCAGTATATTTTTCCGTAATGTCTGATGAGAAATATGCAGTTAAATAGTGATTTAAAAGCAATCCACAACAAAGTTAATAATAGCAAAATTCTCTGCAACTCAAAGTCCGAGGGTTGAAGAGTGGCCTGAAAGAAATGTATTAAGTTAACGCCAAGTGATCGCTAGATGATACGTAGTGATCAACCGTCAGCATTAATTTAAGAATGTTTCCTAATAAAAATAATAAAGCTAAGAAGGTGGGAGAGTTTTTTTAAAGTCGGAGTGTAATTAGAAAATTTTACAAGACACCAGCGTTGTTGGGAAATCAACGTAATCTGACATTAAAAATCGGAAATCATAGTTGTAAGAGGAAATATGCAAAGTACGTTTCCACTTAGACCTTACCATTCGTTGGCTACATCGTTTGCATTGTGTACATACAGATGGGGACATTTAAACAAGATACTCCGTACTTCTAAATAACATCGAGTGAACTTTCTAAAAGCTTGGGATGACCAGAGGAAACTAGACACTTAGGAATTGAGTTTCTAGTTGTTAAGTGATTCATTTTATTTGATATACACACCAAAATGACATCTATTCTAGCGTTCTCAGCATCTATGGCAAGGAGGGTCCTAGTTTAAGTTTATCACCGAGTCAAGTGCACATATGCTAGTATAAGTATTGAAAGGCCCACTTCGTCAAACGTCGAGGGATTACGTTTTTTTTCGAAAAACAGGGCATAAATAGATAGCCTAAAATAAGCCAGGCCAAATGCATAACTAAATTTTACATGTACGTTCACTAAGAAAAATGGATGGGAAGATTCATTTTGTTTCTGCTGACGCTCCATATTTTTCCATTGCTTGACTATCCATGTATTATTTCTTGGTATCTTGAGCGGTTTTATCTATGATATCATTCTAAAGCACGTACGTTTTACGACTACGGTAACAACACCACTAACTTTCATGTTTTTATAGAAATAGTGACATACATCATGTGGATTTACCTACTTACAGCAAATCAATACTGTTTAAGCAGGTTACATGAGCTTCGAGATTAAAATCCGGACGAACTATCGAATTCTCCATTTGCATCAACACTTCAAAATAACTAATTAAGTCTTGATAACCTTGTTAATAACGCAACAACTCTGTATTTAAGTATACACTACAATGTATAAAATGATCATAAATACGTTTGTACAGCATTAGTAAATGGCATCGTCGAGAGAGGTTTTTTATTGAATCGTTTTAAGTTTGTTTAATGGTTTCTTTTATTCAGTACACAAGTATATATCTCCCGAGCTCTCAAATGCCCTGGTACGGCCGAGAGTGGGGTGAGCCCGCTCTCCCTCTCGAAATCCTCTCACATGGCTACGCGTATATAGCCTCTTCCAGGGAAGTTCTACTCACTGCCTTCTCGTGGCGGGGGTGTTGTTTACGAAATTGATAAAACGAGAAGCGAATGTCCGGCGCTTTAACCGGGTTGGTGGACATGGAGAGTCCACCTAGGGGAGTTGGAAAACCCTGATTCCGAACCAATGATGCACATGGGCTCCAGTATCCTGAAGGGACAAATGGCGTATGAACAAATCGTTGGTCACCGGCTACCATGAGAATGCATCTCCTTACGTTGTTCCACTGCCTTGTGAATCAGACCTTTAGGTCGAAGGCTCCGAGTGTGACCCCCTAAGAAAACCACATGCTTCGGTCTGGGCACCCGGGCAGTATCACAGCCCTCACACATATCAAATGAGATCTGTGGGGCGCATATGTATTTGGTGCCTCCTTGTACCAATATCTATGTGTTAAAATTAATACATCTTCCGAACGACATTTATTATACTTTTATCCAATCCAAACTGCCTATTAACTCATTTGCTTTTAAGTTAGCATATTATGTTAGTGATGAGCTCAACTGTTGTCTGTCTATTCATGACGCGTTACAGACAAATTAGGCATTAAGTTGATTGATGACTATACAACTCAGTGATCGAGTACAGATCAGTATACTTGATATCTTTTAGAACATACTTTATGTGGGAGCTAGCGATATTGCCTGGCTGCTCAGTTTGAGATAGATAGAGAGGAACTTAAATTTGCAACTTAGTAACTGTGAGACCAAGTCAACCATTATCATTCTTTTAATCTCACCCCCTAAACTTTATAAATATTGTCACTAGGAGTTCCTCCAATGTTTGGTCTCGTAGGTACATGTTTTAAATTGATAGTTTTTTTAAAAAAATTTAGTACAACACCCAAGATTGTTTCTTTTGTTAGTTCTACTAACCATGTGACTGATTCAGTGAGACTTCGCATCATATATATAGATAGTGACATATCTAATTAAAATTGAATAATTAGTCCAAGGCAAAGAAAGAAATATTTAACAAAGGAACAACTTTATGTACAGTCGCCAATTGTTTTGCTAAAATCAATGTGGTGCTCTATTTGACTTGAGATCCGGTAGTCTTACCGGTGTCACCAGTTCAGCTACCATGTTCAATTCAGATTTGTTTTGAGTATTTTCAACCTTTGAACATTTGCATCCCAAATATTGGAAAAACTGAGTTAACCTAAGAAACAAAAAATAAATCCCCATAAAAGTGTCTAACTAAATACTTAGATATAACAGAGATAAACGTGATAACAAGAATGACATCATACACATCACTGAACGATTCCCAACAAGAATCATGAAATGTTCTGAACAATCTGAAACCAAATAGCACTAGTAAGTAACAGAGATGACTTCGTCCACAAATATAATGTGTATCTAGAAAAGAAGTTGTAAGTCCTGGGAATTACGTTATAAGATGAGAAACCTGACTTGATTTGTCCGTAAAATTCTTGCCTAAAACAGAAGTGTGATATTACCCATGAACCAATCTGAAACCTTCAACATTATTACTAAATCAGTGACTTTTAAGTAATATCGTTCGCGAAGTCAAAACACTGGAATGAAATGTAGCGGTCATTCATGATGAGAAAACGAGTCGACCAGGCTATCTATGACCGTAAAAGAAAACTGAAGCAAAAACTATTATTTATTATCACATGAATATCTAATGTAGGGTAATGGATGCAAAGAAATGAAGTAAAAAAACAGTCCTCAGAGCAGTAAATCGGATGTGCACTATATGGACAAATTCGGATTTACGTTAAAATTTCCGATCTAAGTTGACAGACATGACACACTAGTGTGATACAGTCAAAAAGGGATCCAAATTATCGCCCCACAGCAAAATAGAAAATGCATTCGTCAAGAATCACTCCTCACCACATTTATTAGATAGTCGATTTATGAGATATATATCATCTGCTATCACAACTGACAAACTGTATACAAAGTGAAGCACCTAGTGTCGAAGGAAAGTGGTCTTTATTTGTAAAAGGTATCTTGGGGTCTCAAGTATATAATACACTCAAAGTTAACTAAGCCTTATACTATAAAGATAGTTATGGGTTAAAGTTGCCATCTGAAAATAAGGTTTGACTTGATAGCACCAAATGTCTTTATTATTTTCGCACTTGATATCTTCATACTGCTGATGGAATGTAGTATACCTGGTGAAGACTCCACCTGTATGGACTCTGAGAAAAACGGCGAAGAGATGAGCTATCATAAAAATAGTGGATTTCATGATTCATCAGCTGACTTGCATGATACAAATACATAGCAATTACGTGAATAATATGGAAAACAATTAACTTGTATGTGTATAGTAGTGAAATGCAATACTAACCTTTCACGTCCGATTTTGAAGTCTACAGTCAAACTATCAACCATCGTCTTGAAATTGTCACAATGAAGTATCAGGACTAACATGTGCGTAATCAATTTATCACGAAGCATTGGTGACATTGCGCTAAAGTATTACAAACAAAATCAGAATTCATAAATGACAAACGAAAATGAAGTAAATATCTACAACTAGAGTGAAACACCCGAAAGTCCATTTATTCTGGTATTTGTTGTTTTGACCTTGGTTAGGAACAATCACAGACCAATGTTACAATATTTGAATTAGTTAGCCAAACATTTTTGAGGAAAGTTATCAACTTTATACCATGAACGAGGTTATACTTAATTACTGCTAGGTCTCCAAAGTAGATAGGCATACATCTGTTGGTATAGTGATTAATAGTGGTGTTAATAATGAATTGGTAGGGGCTTTTTCTACTGTTGGTAGTGAACCCCAGTGAATACATTGGTTTATAGGAATAAAGGGCTGTCTAAAATTCTGGAGAATGTACAGGGGATTCGCCTAGTTTTAAAAAGAAAAGATATTTCCGTAGGATAAAATGAATTTGATGTATTTGACAGGTTGGTGTACAGATTCTGCCACTTTTGCAATTTAGCGTTAGGAATTTTTCTATCTTCTATGTTACATGGAAGTTGGGATGAATAGTAAAATAGAAGTTTGGAAAACTGTTAATGACCACTGTTAGGGTCTTCGAAGTCGTAAAGGGTGATATTTATTTTCTTTAAACAAATAAACATTAGTACAAGGAGGCACCAAATACCAATGCGCCATTCGATTTGTGTAAGGGTTGGGATACTGTCCGGTCGCTCAGACCAAAGCAGTGGTTTTTATTAGGAGGACACTCCCCAAGCCGTTGACCTAGAAGTCTAGTCCACAAGTCAGTGGAGCAACGTAAGGAGATTCGGTCCCACGGTAGCCGGTGACCAACAGTAAGTTCATACGCCATTTGTTCCTTTAGGATCCTGGAGCCCATGTGCACCATTGGTTTGGAGTTAGGGTTTTCCAACTCCCCTAGGTGGGTCCTCCACAGTAATAGTTTTCAATTAAAGGATTTTCAAAGGAATGACAATTATTCACGATATTAATCACAGGAATCAAAGCGTAATAGTAGGTTAGAAGGATTCCTTACCAAATTTTTTACCGAAATACATTTTTAGACACACAAACATATCTTGGAGGATTTCCCACGGACCATAGACAAACTCAAGTTTACATGTCCTTCATTTTATATTTAGTAGTTTAACTACCGTACAACAAAGATAATTATTATTGAACTGTCACAATCTCATCAAAACCTATGCAGTTTAAAACAGTTAACGAACATGAATCATTAAAGTAGTGAGGAAAATTTACATACCGTACTTTTAGACGTCCCATACCATTCCGACTAACTGATGCTGTAAACTGAGTAAGAAGATATTTGTTAACAGTATTTGGTGTATCTGGAAGTGGGACCTTGCGCATTAGGTCTCGGTTAGGCAAGTGAAACAAAGCAAACATGTGACTGAGAAACACCAAACCGGTAACATGTTTTGTATAACCTTCAGACTTAGTTGTACACAAGTTATACAGCTTATTCCTTATCCACTGCGGATAAATACTCTTATTTATTAGAGTATCAATCGAATTGACATCAACAGATATAATACGTTGTACCTCCGAATTTAAGGCTTCTGAAATTCTAGGAGGAACTAATTTTTCATAAGGATAAACATCCGCAGGACAAGAAGCTTTCAAGACTATTGGTGGTAGAAGGCGGAGACGTTCATCGGTTTGAGAGTTAGAGCAATCCATTTCGTTGTCAGCTAAATAAAGTGACAAAAATAGTTTTATGACATATTTGAGTGTAAAACATTAGGGCCAAGTAACAATGAACTTACGAAAGCCTTTATATATGTATTTTTACGTGAGGCAAATGTATAGATTTCACCAAAGCAATTTTTATGTTACGTTACCCTTTCTAAGTCGAGAAAGGACTAAACATAGGATGAGTCAAAATAATCGGAACTAACATATTTTAAATGTTGGTAAACTTCAGATATATGAACAAGATAATTACAAGAAGGGAAAGGTTTACTAGGCCAAGATATAATAAGGGTAAATTTAAATGACATGACATTTTATTATTGTCAACACGCAGCATCTTAAGAAAAATGAGTAATCCAAGTTCTGACAGTGAAATACATTTTACTTTTTCAACCAACGGTCTAATTATTAAGTGAATCGGATCAACCAAAAAATTAACGAGGAGCGTTACATTACCAAATTGGATGACTCATTACGCTATCCAGAAATCATATGAATAGCGTAGTCAAAAGATGGAGAGCAACTGGAACATGCTACCCAATACTGATTGAAACCTGAATTTCTTAACCAATAAACTATCACTTCAGGCTGAAGATAAAAGAACTGTACATTCAAAACATGTTTGAAATTAAAAGGTAAAATCAACTATTTTCATGGCGTCAATGAAAAACTCATCAGTAATCAATAGGTTTTCGCTCCCGTTACTCACGACGTAAATATATATGTTACAAATCGTGGCTAACGCATATTGAAAAATTCACGTACAATTAGACGGCTACGAAAATCGGATCGAGAGGTTTTATCCGAGTTAGTTAATCCTAGATCAATGACGTAACCTGCCCACTAGGTGCAAAATTTTATACTTAGCTTCATACTTTAAAAACAATAAGTGTAAGCCTATTCCCGAATTTAGTTCGAATACTAAATTTAGCACTAATTACTATCAAATAAAAAGTTTCGTAAATATATAACCGGAAATAACGTTAAAAATCTAGTTTGGCAGAAAGTAATAAAACAAGTCTTACGATTATTCGAATTGGCTTCGTTATCATATTTTAATTTGGTTTGACCATGCATAGCTCGATCGATCACCTGAGCATTGGTCACCGAATTCTTTTGAGTTTGATTTCTTTCCATTTCACGTAAAGCACGTTGTTTTTTGACAGAACCGAAAGCATTGATGAGAGTGGCTCTCTGCAAAGCAAAATGAAAGTAGGTTAGTTGTGCTGGGGTTTGATTCATATAAAATAAAAAACAATTTTAACTGACAATTCAAAATCCGGAGGATATATAAAAGCGATTTTGTATTTTAAACCTATTAGTCATATTCATTGATTTATAAGCATTTCTTGACATAATGCAGGCAATTTAACTGACAGCTTAAATTAATTCTATACATTTACCGGATATAAGATTTTAGACTACTCTGATTTGCACATAATTTCCCAATATCAATAGACCTTAGAAGAGCAAGAAGAAAATTCAGACTAATTATTGAAAAGAAACAATCAAAGAATGAGTTTGGATTTACAGTCAAATACATCTCCTTATGTTCAACTGGAGGTAGCATCTTCCAAGTTAAACTAGTTATATTACTTGATAATTGAAATATGAACAGAATAAACAATTTTTTGACTTACATCGGCTTTCACTGAATTTGGGACCTCAATTACGTCATCTGAAAGCAATATCAGTAAAAACTATAACATACCATCAAAGCAAGGCTCAAGGAACTCCGGCTTTTTGTGAATAACTTCAACGCTTTTTGTTCGTTTGTTGTAAATTATAGTAGCATAACTACATAAAGAAATAAATTTCCTCGTTACTCAAGTAAACTTAAATCATATGAAGTATAAGAGCGATTATTAGACTTGGGATGCTTTAAGTAGATTCCGAAGATCAACTCTGTCAAACATGACAGTCAGTTCCATCTGTACTTCTCAATATTCACCATGAAAATTATCACACATCATTAGATAGTAGAATTAATCTATAACTGACTGACTTGATTAAAATGTGGATTAAAGATACTGCAATTCTCACTGTGGAACATTTTGAAACAGCAACATCAAAGCCATAAATACCATCACAAGAAAAATAAGAAAAGAGCAAGAAATGCCTATATTCTAGAATCGTAATCGGTAGGTAATAATTCAGGGCACCCGAACTCTTCCACTTCTATAAATTCGTAAAGTCAGCTTACATCTGATCGAACAAAAAATATTAATGTTTGCTAACCTTAACAAATCACATTAAGTTTGCTAATTTCTGGAAAGCATAGTAAAACACAGAAATAAAGTAACTGTACACAAAAATATGTGAGAAACTAACGTACATTATCGAATGGATGATTAGCTATAGATTTATTAATTTGTCCACACGATGGGAAAACTTAGTAAAACGATACACTAAGGAACGTATCATAAAGAAGGAACATCATGTTTTTAAACTAGGTTCCTAATAAGGAACGTCACTATAAATAGTTAGTAATCTTTAATCTTAAACTAATTGTGTGCATGGATTTCAAATTTCTGAAAGAACAAATGATGTGTAAATCTACAAAAGTCGCCTGCTACCATAATAATAAATCTGACCTTGTCCCAATGCTCTCAAAACAAGATTTTTACACTAAAAGATAACGGGTAACCTACAAAAAAAGCTATTTAGATCACTCTGGGAGAAGTATTGAAATTTTTAAACAAATCAGCAATATAAACAGCACGTACGAACAAGCTCCATGTTATTAAAGCATAATAATTTAGGAGTATAAACATTGACCAAAAATCACAATAACTACTATTAGCTTAAAATTATTACAAACCCATGATTCAAATTTAAAATAGTCACCACATATAATGAAAAAAACTCTTACTTAGAATCCCTCAAAGGAGACTTTAACTTGCTACTGTAAAGCACATTACCGATTTGACAGCTCTAGGAATACAAATAAAGTTAATATTAACTGAATAAGTACCACAATGGACTTTTCGACATTCTGGGGGCATACATCGACATGTGCTGGTAAAACATCTGTAACCGTCATATCGCTTGTTCCTAGTGAAAAAGGTGCTATTCAATGTTAGAAAAAAACACTATACTCTTACCTGGGAAAAAATTCATTGGTTCCATTTATAGTACTTTATAATGTTCGGAAGACAATGCAACCTAATAAGTGTCAGATGGGTCGAAAGATAGTTTGATCCACGGACAAAAATAGAACTATGTTCCCTTCACTACTGTATGTGATATTTAGCAGTAAATTTTATAGTAATAAGTGCTGTCTTAATTCCATTTGCATCAATATCCTAAAAGCAATAACAGAGATGTATTTGAATATCCCGCTGATTTTTAACAAGTCTTATCAAAAACCTAAGGTGATAGAGTATTTGTAGCATTGAGAAGAGCATTTGGTAAAGCTAAAATTAGGAACCAAAGTCAGCCACCTGAACCGTACAAGTCAAGCTTAGCTGGAGCTCATAAAATACAACAATCAGATCTCATTTATGACGAACAAGTTGTCTTTTATGAGAGCGCGTGGTTGCTTAGCCTTTGTAGTCACCTTGTATACTGTGGCTCATACACAAAGTTGTTTATTTGGAATCCATTCTAGATCTAAAACTTATCAACAAGAAATGTTTCTCGGTAGCGAAACATCGATATCTCGGGCGTTGTAAACTACGGACTGAGTATTCGAAAAGCCTGGAAACAGGGTTTGACTAAAATAATGCGGGAACCTTGGAAGTATCATCAACCATTCCAAAGAAATGTGAGGTCTAGTAAAAAGACATGAATCAAGTAAATAGTGTTGATTATATTACAACCCTAGTTAATTATATTTCTCAAGTAGTGTGAACAGTTTTTGAAGTAAAATATACGTGAGCGGAAGCGAAAGAACACTAGATATACTGAAAAACATTACAATAAGCACGAAGAAGCTAATCACGAGTTTTTGTTACAGTAACGCAGTAGCCAAATAACGCGCACACAGGTGTGTATTAGTTATAGCCACTACATGCCTTATTACGAAGTGACCGAAATTAGTGTACTGAGGGCAGAACACCGAAGGCATGTGTTGGCTCTTTTCCAGTAATTTCTTGTGTCTTGCCTACTTTTAATTATTGCTCGAGCTGGTTTCACTTTAATGTTTTGATCGTTAATTACGCATCAAGACTGCTATTTTCACTTTAATTGAATTTGTTTCAGTCGAAGTAATTTTCGAGCGTCATTTTCCCCTTTCTAGTAAACTGGCTCTTTTTAAATTTGTTTGCACTTTTCGATCCAACGGTTTACAATTTTTCACTTTTTTTCTGGTCATCAATTATTTTGTTTTTGGGTATTTTCTATGTCTAGCTTCTCTTTACCACGTCTGATTGATGACAGAACAGTGCAAGAAAAAGTTATTCCCAACACCAGGGCTGTTGGTCTCCTGATGAAAGTGGAATGTAGTGAGACGTGTGCAAAGGATATTATTACGAAGTTTACGCTAATTTGAAGCCTGTAGTCTTAAAACGGTTTAGTGAAGGTATTTACGTGTGGTTGTCAAAGATGCTGGCCGGAAGTGAACAGCTTGCTGCTAAGAGGAGTGTTAACAAGAGTAATCGAGACATATAAAAGTGGTACTCGCTTTGTCGATGCATAATTTGATGTGAAGTTAGTTCAAATAAGCTCAGAGTCGATTGACTTGAATGAGACAAAGGTAAAAGAACTATCCTAAAATAGGACTTTGAGAAAAAATTTCGAAAAAAGAAGTTTCTTCTGTTCTCCGCCTTCCAAAAGGCAGTGGGCAGAAAACTTCCAGAAAATGTATCCCAATGCTCAACTCAATAACCCCAGTAGAACCATATTCCCCAATTTAAACGACTTGGGATGTACTCATAAATTTATACATAAAAGCCACTACAACACACATCACTTGGACCGCATCAAGTGGTTTGAGAAACCCTCTACCGTAGTTCAGTGAGGAGGTTCACACACTCCGTAAAAGGAGAAGAATGTAGGAGAGAATTGGGTTATTGGGTACTGACGAGAGGAAATCTCAACATCGACCTTCTGCAAGTCTAGAAGGTTGTACGAAGGAAAACTCGTTAAGGAGTCCTCAGAATACCTTAAACACTTATACTCGTACATAAACCAAAGGATTAATGGAAGAGGAAATATTACAGCTTAATGGGGAGACGGAAGTACTACTTCGTTAGTGGAGGGTGATTATCGTGAGGCTAAGGTATTTTCAAATTACCTTAGCAAAGTGTACACCGTGCAGATGCCCCCCTCGGTTAGTACGAACCCCACACACAGGACATCGTGATCACTAAAGAGCTTGATGTCTTTGGTTTGCTAAATGAGCTTGATACAGGAAAACCCGTGGGACCGGGTGAAATGCATCCTAGGTTACCAGAGAAATTAGCACATTTTGTCTCAAATCCCTCAAGCATATGTTTTAGTCTATCTGTAATACAGGATTGATTACCAAACCACTGAAATAATGATATTGTAAGTCCTATCTTCAAAACATGTACGAGACATAAGCCTGAGAACCATACACCTATAACCAGCATGGTTGTTAAAATTTGAGAGAAAAATATTCGTAAGTAGTTCTTTAGGTATTTCGGCGGAAACCAGATTCTTTATGAACAGGTTGTTCATATCCCATTAACTTACTAGTAGCCTGTGAAATTCGATACGCTCTTAAAGATCAAAAGTTACCTATAGATGTATCGTACATTGACTTTAGCAGGGCTTTTGACAAAGTTCTTCACAAACGGCTGTCATATGATCTACATAATATCAGGATTAGAGGCAATTTATTAATAAGAATAGAGGACTTCCTAGTTAGGCGTCAACAAAAAGTGCGGGTGAACTCAAAGTTGTCTGGCCGGGAACCTGTGTTCAGTTGAGTGCCTTAAGGTGTAGTTTCAGCCCACTTCTGCTTCTCTTGTATGTAAAGGACCTTGTTATACGCTGACGATGTCAAGACATGGATAGCAACAAAAACTGAAGGTGATAGTTTAGAGCTTCAAAATGACCCGGAGAAATTATCTGGATGGTCTAAAATTTGGCGGTAGCCGATAAATGCTTTCAAGTGCATTACGATGCGCTGTAATCACCAAGGCACAAATGTATACACGGTAAATAAAATTAATATACTTGTTGTACAGACACATAATGACTTAGAAGTAGTTGTAAGATCCATTTTGAATCTTTTGTGTGTGAAAATCCCTCCATGTATACATTTGCAGTTTGTTCATATTGATTCCTTTAGTTCTACATTGTTAGTCTTTTTGATTCCATTTGAGTTGTTATTATTTGTATTTTATTATAGTTTTTATCTTCCTTACGCCTTCACTAAGTTTCCGTGTTTCTTCCTGAACTGCAGTTATGTTGTTTTACTTGATATTTTGTATTGGCGGCAGCCATATTGGTTTATACCTCCTTTTGATTGCGTTGTTTTATTGACTGGAATTGTGCATTTTTGATTGTGAACTGAGGCACTCTTTCAGAATTGAAAACACTGTGTTATAAAGCAACCAAATATTATCTTTTGAACAAATCTGTGCGCGGTCTATCCAGACAGGACAGAATAGCATTTATTTGTTGTGATTGATTTGATTAATTGGTTGAATAACTGGGTGGTCATATTTGTTGAGGTAACGATGTGCATTTAACTTTATGATGAATATTAGAACCGTCATTTTACCCAATCACATTGTTTTGGTTTCAAACGGACAAGGGCGCGTATCTAACCCACCTAGACAGCTATTCTTCAGTCCAAACCTTAGTTTGGATCTTGCAGTAATCGGTAGCCAAAACTTGGAAACTACTCCACACTGCCGTGCGATAGCCGCTAAAGGTTTCAAAAACATGTGCTTTATACGTATATTTTTTAGCCATGTTGATGCTAAAAAATTTTTCACTCTTTACTCAGTATTCGTTGGCCTAAACTCGAGTACTGCATACAAGCGGCTAGCTCCTGTCTAAAAAGAAGCAGTAAGTCGTTGAAAAAGGCTCAAAAAACCTCAACTACGCTGATTCCTGAGATAGAAAATCTCGCGTATGATGATTTACTGGCTAAACTAAGTCTATTTCCATTGTTATATAGAAGAACGAGATGTGACTTGACCACAGTTTTTGAATTACTTAAATGATAAACCCGCATCTGGTACATCATCGTTTTTCTTTTCTTCAAAAATGGAAAGTTTATGAGGACACTAATAATTTCCACAAGCACAGAAAAAATTACTTATTAACCGCCTATCAACTTTCTTGTTGAATCATCAGCCAATGGAATTCATTACCGCAATACACGATTGAGGTTTCGTCCGTTTATGCTTTCAAAAGAAATTTGGGTCAAGTCAGAGACCATCATTGCCAAGATTAACAAAGATCACTCAGTCTCCTGTCCTTTCCAGACTAAGACGGTCGATCAGAGGTATAAGTACAACTACAGGCAACAGAATCCAGGAGTTGATGACTCAGCATGAACACCCTTATTCCGTAGTTAATGTGTCCGTTCTCAGTCTTTGAACACGTCTGCTATATCGTATGAACTGTCCTGGTATAGAAGAAGAAAATGGAGGATACATCGATTCGGAAATCATTTTTTAGTGTTCTGTACTTCAAAATCAGATCACTTCTTATTCTACTGTTGGACAGAGTGAAGAGGTCTAACTTTTCAAGTTGCTCTGTTCATGGTGAACCTCCGAATTCTGGAACCCCATATTTAACTGTACTTTGTACATTTGCATGATAGCCGAGTCATATGTTAAACAGGGGTTTATAGCGTGAACTCGGTTTCCATGTCTGGATCTCGCTGACGTTGTGTACACTGCGGTTAACATGCCTATATACAACTTGGTAAATGACCATACTGGGGCCCATACAACTCTGAAAACCTTTGCTGAAAACGTACGATGGTGAGCCATGGTTCCAAAATAGTGGATTCATGTCACCCCTAGATCACTGTGAGACATGACTGCAAGCATCAACGCTTTCCCAATGATGTAGCTGCTTGTTTTCGCATCTCTGATTTACATGTAAATCTACTTGGTTGCGTTGACAAGGATCAATCACCTTCCAGGCTAGCTAATCAAAACGTCCAGGTCAACCTGAAGTGAACATACACCTGCACTCCC